AGAAGAAGAAGAAGAAGAAGAAGAAGAAGAAGAAGAAGAAGAAGAAGAAGAAGAAGAAGAAGAAGAAGAAAGGACTCAATTTATCAATCAATAAAAACACTGGAGAAGGGGAAGGGATGGTGGGAGGAGGAGGAGGAGGAGGAAGAAGAAGAAGAAGAAGAACGCCAGAGATGGGAAGGGGACTCATCATCTCCTGGTGATCGGCCCAAAGTTACCCAGCTGCCTTTTGTGCCAAAGGGGGAACTAGAACTCCCTGACTCTTTATGATGGACTCAAAGTCTTCCAACCAGCTGTCATGCCTAAGGCAGGACTAGAACTCACCATCTCTTCTTGATTTGCCCAAAGTCACCCAGCCAGCTTTCATGCCTGTAGTGGGACTAGAATTCCCTGTCTCTAGGGAGGTTATTGATGGGATCCGTGAAGGAATGGAGGATGGGGGTCACATGAGAAGAACAGAGACCTTCAAGCAGGTTCTCCAGATCTTCTTCTGATGGCTTCCTGCACTCGGATATTCAGCAACAGATGCCCCAAAGCCCATCCAGGGCTGCCCCTTGGCCCTTCCATTGTTTAGCTGATGGGGCATAGAATTACATGGAATCCTACGACTGGAAGGGACCTTGGAGGTCTTCTAGTCCAACCCCCTGCCCAAAACAGGAGAACTTCAACCATTTCAGACAACTGGCTGTCCAATCTTTTGCGGAAAACCCGCAGCAATCAAAGTGCTCACAACTCTGGCAACTACATCAAGACACCAGTCACAAAACAGCAGGCCACCCACATATGTGCATCAAGACTTCATAGGCGCTAAATCCCCTCCCCCCTTCCCCCCCTCTATGCCGTTATAACTTTGATCAGTCACTAAACGAACGGTTGTAAGTCACGGACTACCCTTAATGCAACGGAAGGGTGTTGTGAGTGGTGCCATTGGGTGCCTTAAAAAGGATTTCATTTTCCCAGGAAACTCACCCCTTGAGTGACCGTGTCACACTTGATCTGGAGGATGCCGGATCCGGGCTGGGCCGAGGAACTTGCAGAACATTCTTTCACCACCTGTATCCAAGAAATAGAAGACAGAGACGGGTCTTCCTTGGTGTCAACCACAACCTTGTGAGGTAGGCTGGGCTCGGTGACGGTGGCCCGTTCTAAATCACGCGGTGATTTTTAGCATCTAAAGCAAGGGTATCAAACTCAAGGCCCGGGGGCCGGATCCAGCCTGCAGGGTACTTAGATCTGGCCCACAGGGCCGCCGTGGAAACAGCGCTTCTGCCAGCGAAAACGGGCTCCTGAGCTCCGTTTTCGGCTGCCACAGCTTCCTGCAACCTTCTCCCAATGAAAATGGGCTCCCAAGCTCCGTTTTAGGTTTCCACGGTCTCCAGTAATCTTCTCCCAATGAAAATGGGTTCCCTAGCTCCGTTTTATGTTGCCACAACCTCCTGCAATCTTCTCCCAATGAAAATGGGCTCCCTAGCTCCGTTTTCGGCTGCCACAGCTTCCTGCAACCTTCTCCCAATGAAAATGGGCTCCCAAGCTCCGTTTTAGGTTTCCACGGTCTCCAGTAATCTTCTCCCAATGAAAATGGGTTCCCTAGCTCCGTTTTATGTTGCCACAACCTCCTGCAATCTTCTCCCAATGAAAATGGGCTCCCTAGCTCCGTTTTCGGCTGCCACGGCCTCCTGCAACCCTCTGCGAACGATAACAGAGCTTGATGATAAAGCTCCGTTTTCACTGGCAGAAGGTTGAAGAGGCCGTGGCAGCCGAAAACGGAGCTCGGGAGCCCATTTTAATTGGCAGCGCGCTCGGGCCTACCACAGGAGTGACATCAAGCTGGCCATGCCCGCATCACGCCACCACCACCGCACCATTCCCTGGGACCAGCGAGGTCAAACATAACCCTGATGCAGTCCTCAATGAAATCGAGTTTGACACCCTGACCTAAAGAGAGATTCAACTCTGGGACTCTCCATCCGGTTCCTTTACCACAACACAACACAACACAATTACAAACACACAGGAACTTACTTATTTGGGGTTCCATTGAACAACCCTGGATCATCATTAGAGGTAGTCCTTGACTTAAAACATGGGCCAGAATTGCTAAGCAAAGGAGTTGCTAAAAGTGAGTAGAATCCAGGTTTTTTTGGGGGGAGGGGAATTGCCACGGTTGTTAAGTGAATAATCACAGTTGTTAAGTGAATCACATGGCCATTAGGCGAGCACCAGCTCTCTCCATTGACTTTGCTGGCTGGGAAGTTTGCAAAGGGTGATCTTGTGGCCCTGGGGCCTTAATTTAGGCAAGAATTTGTGTTGCTAAGCGAGGCAGCTATTAAGTGAGTTTTGCCCTGTTATACAACCTTTCTGGTTGCGAATCCCTACAGTTTTTAGTTGTTAAATGAATCCGGCTTTCCCCAGGGAAAGGTCACAAAGGGGGATCACAGGACCCCCAGCATACTGTGCCAGTCATAAATGTGAGTCAGCTGCCAAGGGTCTGAATTTTTATCACGTGAATATGGGGATGCCGTAACGGTCGTAACTGTGAAAAATAGAAAACACCTTTTTTTTGGTGGTGTTGTAACTTAGAACGGTCACTAAATGAATGGTTATAAGGCAAGGACTATCTTACATGCCAGTTGATCGTGTGACCATGGGGATGCTGCAGTGGTCATAAGTGTGAGGACCAGTCATAAGTCACTTTTATTTACCATCTTTGAATGGTCGTTAAACGAATGGCCGTAAGTCAAGGGAAAACTGCATCTGCTCCCATCTTAGGAACTTAATTCTCTCTCTATTCCCGAATCAAAGTATCAGCTCTTAAATGTAATAAATAAAAATAATTAAAAATTATTAGCACAGGTAGTTATCATCTTACAACAATTCATCCAGTAACCACTCAAAGATACAACAGCGCTGAAAAAACATGGACTTATGACCATTTTTCATACGACCATTGGAGCACCCCACCCCCTCAGGCTCACGTGATCAAAATACAGGCTCTGGTCAACCGACTCGCATTTACGACGGTCACAGCGATCCCCTTTTGCGACCTTCCGACCAGCAAAGTCAAAGGGGAAGCCAGATTCATTAATAACAGCCACGTTATTAACTTAATTAACTGCAGTGGTCCACTTAACAACCGTGGCTGGAAAGGTCGAAAAATGGGGACAAAACTAGTGTCACATAACTCAGCTGTGGTCATAAGTCGAGGACTGAGGGGGTGTTTGTGTGTGTGTTTCCCCACCACGAGCGGGATTTTCTCGAGGTTCTCCCGTGCGAAACGAAGAGGGGGCAGCAATGGAAGAGGAAGCGTGACTTACAGAATTGTGCAAGACAATTTTGTGTTGAATTGTTCATTTTGTCCCGATTGGAGAGAAACGAGAGGCAGAAAACTCACCCCGTGTTCCTTAAAGTCACAATCGTCCAGGTTCAAATCCCCGGAATTTGGACACGTGGTCTCCTTCAGGATCACTTCCAGCTTCTGAAGATCTGGATTCGGAGGTTCCTGGAGCCAGTAGAGGAAAAAGAGAAGCAGTCCTCGCTTAGCGACTGCTCGCTTAGCGACGGTTACAAATAACAGCCGATCTTCCCGAAAAAAAAATCTATTCTTAACGTGTTTCCTAAGCTCTGAGAGTCAAATCTCACATGCCCTTCAGTCTGGTGATCGCCTTCAGGGCACTTGGCTACCGACTCGTATTTACGACGGTTGCCATCACCGGACTGATAATTTTTGATGGTTTTTCTACCCGTTTCCGGGAAAACTGGACAATGGTATTCGCTTAATGGCCTTCCCCCACCCCCAAAAAAAGTAAAATGGGGCCCTCAACCCGCTTAATCACCTCCCCCACAAATGCAGCTCAACCGACTCACTTAGCAACCTTTCCCACCCCTGAGCACCAATACGGTCGTAAGTCGAGGACGGTCTGTAAATTCCAGCCATTCCGCAATGCAGATGTCTGTGGCTGGGCTGGGCTAGCTGAACAACCCCTGGGTCAGAAAACGGGGACGGGGGTTCAAACTTACTCCGTCCGGGGGAGATTTGATTTGCAACAGCCGGAAGGCGGAATCCAGTCCCGAGTTCCGATTGTACCACTCGACAGCTGAGGAAAGGGCATCCTGGCCACTGGAGGTCCCCTCCTCCGCATTCCCACCGGTGGTGCTCAGCGCAAGGCCGAGCATCAACAGGAGCGTGCCCCAGGCGGTCTGCATGGTGGGAATATCTGCACAAGTGACCTCCGGCCACTTTCCCCCCTGCCTTTTATACCTCCCCTCCCCCCACACTCAGCCCTTCCCTGACCCTCCTGGTCTCTGTCATTGGCTGACTCACCCAGAAACCACCCCCCCCCCCCCGGGTGGATTTCCAGAAAGGGAAATATTGCTCAGAGGAGGGGGGCACAGAAGGGGCACAGAACGGATAAGGGAGGGAGGGGGCAGAGAAGGGGGTTGGGACTTCTGCTTTTTGGATTGGGGGGGGGAGGCTGAGAAGGTCTTGCAATAAGCAGCTTTGGGGATGAATGAGGGACATAGATCCCATGTTAAAGGTCTGGTTCTTTCTTTCTTTCTTTCTTTCTTCCTTCCTTCCTTCCTTCCTTCCTTTCTTCCTTCCTCCTTCCTTCCTTCCTTCCTTCCTTCCTTCCTTCTTTCTTTCTTTCTTTCTTTCTTTCTTCCTCCCTCCCTCCTTCCACTCCCTTTCCTTCCTTTCCCTTTCTTTTTCTTTCTTACTTTCTCTCTCTCTCTTCCACCTGCCCTCCCTCCCTTCCTTCACTCCCTCTTTCCTTCCCTTCTCTTCCTTCCTTCCTTTCTCTCCCTCTCTCTTTATTTCTCTCTCTCCCCTTTCCTTCCTCCAACCCTCCATCCCTCCCACTCTTCATTCACTCTTTCCTTCCTTCTTTTTTTCCCTTCTCCCTTTCTTTCTTTCTCTCTCTCCCTTTGTTCCTCCACCCCACCCTCCCTCCCTTCCTTCACTTTCTTTCTTTCCTTCCTTTCTTCCCTTCTCCCTTTCTTTCTTTCTTTTTTTCTCTCTCTCTCCTTTCGTTCCTCCACTCCACCCACTTTCCATTCACTCTTGCTTTCTTTCCTTTCTTTCTTCCCTTCTCCCTTTCTTTCTTTCTTTCTTTCTTTCTTTCTTTCTTTCTTTCTTTCTTTCTCTCTCTCTCCCTTCCTTCCTCCCTCCCTCCCTTCCTTTACTTGCTCTATCCTTCCTTCCTTTCTTCCATTCTTCCTTCCTTTCTTTCTTTCTTCCTTCCTTTCTTTCGCTCCCTCTCTCTTTCTTTCTCTCTCTCCCCCTTCCTTCCTCCAACCCTCCATCCCTCCCACTCTTCATTCACTCTTTCCTTCCTTCTTTTCTTCCCTTCTCCCTTTCTTTATTTCTCTCTCTCTCTCCCTCCCTTTGTTCCTCCAACCCATCCTCCCTCCCTTCCTTCACTCTTTCTTTCTTTCCTTCCTTCCTTTCTTCCCTTCTCCCTTTCTTTCTCTCTCTCTCTCTCCTTTCGTTCCTCCACTCCACCCACCCTCCCTTCATTCACTCTTTCTTTCCTTCCTTTCATTCTTTCGTTCTCCCTTTCTTTCTTTCTTTTTTCTTTCTTTCTCTCTCCCTCCCTTCCTTCACCCCTCCCTCCCTCCCTTCACTTGCTCTATCCTTCCTTCCTTCGTTCCATTCTTCCTTTCTTTCTTTCTTTCTTCCTCCTTTCTTTCGCTCCCCCTCCATACCTTTCTCTTCCTTTCTTCCTTCCTCTCTCTTTCTCTCCTCCCTCCTCCTCCCTCCCTCCCTCTCTCTCTCTCTCTCTCTCTTCCTTCCCTGTTGCAAAATTAATTGTGATGCAACTAAAACTTGCAAATCATCTTAGAACAAAACACCATTTCAAAACACAGATCCGGCACCCTTGAAAATACATGTAGTCCTCAACTTACAACAGTTCATTTAGTGACCGTCCGAAGTTACCACAGCCCTGAAAAAAACGGAAGATGACTGTTTTCCCACACTTACGACCATTGCAGCCTCCCATGGTCACATGATCAGAATTCGAATGCTCGGCAACTGACTCGTATTTATGACGGTTGCAACATCCTGGAGGGTCACGTGATCCCCTTTTGCGACCTTTCGACAAGCAAAGTCAAGGGGGAAGCCAGATTCACTTAACGGCTGTGTAACTCAATTAACAACTACATTCATTCGCTTAACAACTTTGGCAAGGAATGTCACAAAATGGGGCAAAACGCACTTAACAATGTCTCACTTAACAACCAAAAGCTTGGGGGGGGTCAAACTGTGGTCATAAGATGAGGACTGATGTAAGGATCTTAGATCTATCAAAGGTTCCATCAAGTCTGGCCGGATCCAATCTGTCCACTGAAACTCGGGGTGTCCACTCTTTCCACCATTCCCATCTCTTGATGGCCAAGCAGAGTGATGGTCAGCCACCAAGGCTAAGAATGACCCAAGCCTTGATCAGGTCATCTTCTCCATTGCTGGTAAGGTAAAAGTCCCCCTCCTCGCATATACGGGCTAGTCGTTCCTGACTCTAGGGGGCGGTGCTCATCTCCGTTTTAAAGCCGAAGAGCCAGCGCTGTCCGAAGACGTCTCCGTGGTCATGTGGCCGGCATGACTCAACGCCGAAGACGCACGGAATGCTGTTCCCTTCCCACCAAAGGTGGTTCCTATTTTTCTACCTGCATTTTTTACCTGCTTTCGAACTGCTAGGTTGGCAGAAGCTGGGACAAGTGACGGGAGCTCCCTCCGTTACGCGGCGCTAGGGATTCGAACCGCCAAATTGCCAGCTTTTCTGATCGACAAACTCAGCGTCTGAGCCACCGCATCCCAATTGCTGGTGGATCTCCTTAAATCACATCCTTGGCAAAAGGATGGGTTGGGTGCAGAAGTAGGTGCTTCACAAACCGAGACAGACCAAGGTGACCTTAAGGGAACTTTACCTGTGATCTGGGGAGGAGAACCACACAACATCAGGAGGAGCAGCAAAAACAAGAGTTCCTAGGACATCCGCACACCATGGATGGAGCAACTTCCTACTTAGGATCCCCCAACCCAACTCTGGATTCCCTTTCGCAAACAGCGTCCCTCAAGAAGGAAGTTCAGATACGGGTCAAAGTTGGCCAAATATGATGGAGAGGAGATGGAGATCTTCAACAGATGGTGCACCATCTGTTTTCTTCAGAAGAGAGGACCTAAGTCTTTGTCCTGGATCTGGCCACCATAATCTCAACCCAAGGGGCTGATGTGGTTGATGCCTGGATGGTCAAAGAGCCAGGGAGGTGTAGATTTGGCCCAGGCACTTCAAGAAACCTTCTCCACCTTCTCAAATTCCATAAGCTTAGAAGATGCCATGTTCCTAACCCAAGATGAAGCCATGATTCCCCCACCCACCCCTAAGGATCAAACCAGAAAGAGATCCCTGAAAACTCTTCACCTTCTACACTCGGACAAAATGTAACAGTAGATCAATCTGTGAAGAAGTTCTAGAGAAGTTTCATTTGGTCTCCTAGAATCTGTCCAATATTGAGACTGTTCAGGGAGATACAGGTAGACCTCCACCGATGGCCACAATTGGACTGGGAGGTCCATCCCTAAGAGAGGCAGTTGTTAAATGGGTCATCACATGACTGTGCTTCGCTTTATGACCTCTTTGCCATACTCTTGAAGGGAATCAGATGATTGTTGAGTGGATTTAGCTTCCCCTATGGACTGCAATTGTCAGAAGGCAGTTGGGAAGATCACAGATACTGAGTGTAAATACACACCAGTTGCCGAGTCTCCAAATTTGGATCACGTGACCATGGAGATTTTCTTATGGTCATAAATACGATTACTGCTTATAAGTCATTTTTTCTTCCTTCTTCTTTCTTTCTTTCTTTCTTTCTTTCTTTCTTTCTTTCTTTCTTTCTTTCTTTCTTTCTCTTTCTTTCTTCCTTCCATCTCCCTCTTCCTCCCTTCCTTCCTTCCTTCCTCCCTTCTCCCTTCCTTTCCATTTCTTTCTTTCTCTCTGTCTTTTTCTTTCTTTCTGCTTCCCTCCCTCCCTTCACCTATCTCTTTCTTTCTCTTTCTTTCTTTCTCACCATCCCTTTCCTTCTTTCTTTTTCTTCCCCCCTTCCCTCCCTCTTTCCTTCCTTCCCTCCCTTCTCCCTCCCTTTCACTTTTTTTTCTTTTTTTCTTTCTGTCTTTCTTTCATTCTTTTTTCCATCCCTCCCTCCCCCCCTCTCCTTTCTTCTTCATCTCTTCCCTTTTCCCTTTCTCATTTCTTTTTCTTTCTTTTTACTTTCCTTCCCACGTTTACCATCAAAAGTCATTCCCTCCAGAGGGGGGAAAAAAACCAGAAGATTCCAGAAGTTGGTGGTCCAAAGGAGATTTTATTATGCAATTCGGAACGTATCAAAACGAGAGGTAAAAAAAGAGAGAGAGAGAGAGAGAGAGAAAGCAGTGTACTTTGTAAGATGCCAGCGAAGTCGTCGAAAGCGAAGCTGTCAGAGATCTTTGGAGGCGAAGGAATATTTTCCCCCTCCTCTGTTTCGGTCTGAATCTTCATCCGATCAGCCAAAAATCCTCCTGAACAGTCTGCCGATTCCCCTAAATCTGGTGATCCGTTTCAGCTGAATCAAGAAGATTTCATGAAATCAACCAGGGGAATTTTATTCAAGCCATCTCTTAAAATATCCGTACAGCAGAATTTCCCTAAGACGGCCACATTAAGACTCCTGGACTTCAACTCCCAGAATTCATGCCGGCTGGGGGATTGTGGGAGTTGAAGTCCATACATCAGCAACAATTCACTTAACAACTATGGCGAGGAAAGTCGTAAAATGGGCATAATTAACTTAACAAATGTTTCACTTAACAACATAGATTTTGGGCTCCATTGTGGTTGTAACTTGAGGACCAGCTGTATCAGCAATATAAGCCTTTTCTAACTTAACAACGAAGAATACGGGAAGTCCTCGATTTACGACTTCCACTGAAGCCAAGATTTCCATTGCTATGCAAGGCAGTTGTGAATTTTGCTCCATCTTATGACCTTTTCTTGGTCACAGTTGCTAAGTGGATCACTGCGCATTATGCGGTTGTTAAGTGAATCCAGCTTCCCCATTGTCTCTGTTCCTCAGAAGGTCGCAAAAGAGGGTCACGTGACTGTCTGTAGCCGTCATAAATACGAGTCAGTTACCAAGC